GGTGAACATCCCCACTTCTGACCTTATGATAGAGGGAAGGTCATTGATAAAGCAGCTGAAGATGGTTGGGCCAAGGACACTACCCTGAGGAATTCCTGCAGAAATGTCCTGGAGCTGAGAAGATTGACCTCCAACAACCACGACCATCTTCCTACGTGCCAGGTTTGTCTCCAACCAGTGGAGAGTTTCCCCCTGAATACGCATTGAATTCCAGTTTTTCTTGGGCTCCGTGATGCCACACTCGGTCAAATGCAGCCTTGATGTCAAGGGCTATCACTCTCACCTCACCTCTGGAATCCAGCTCTTTTGTCCATGTTTGAACCAAGGCTGTCATGAGGTCAGAAGCTGAGTGATCCTGGTGGAACCCAAACTGGGCGTCACTGAGCAGGTTATTGCTGAGCAGGTGCTGCTCGATAGCACTGTTACTGACACCTTCTATCACTTTACTGATGATCGAGAGTAGACTGATGGGGTGGTAATTGGCCGGGTTGGATTAGTCCTGCTTTTTGTGTACAGGACATACTTGGGCAATTTTCCACATTGTCGGGTAGATACCAATGTTGTAAATGTACTGGAACATCTTGGCTAGTGGAGCGGCAAGTTCTGGAGCACAAGTGTTCAGTACTATTGCCAGAATGTTGTCAGGGCCCATAGCCTTTGCAGTATCCAGTGCCTCCAACCGTTTCTTGATATCACGTGGAGTGAATCGAATTGGCTGAAGACTGGTATCTGTAATGCTGGGGACCACTGGAGGAGGCCAAGATGGATCATCCAGTCAACTTCTGGCTGAAGATTTCTGTGAAAGCTTCATCCTTATCTTTTGTACTGATGTGCTGAGCTGTTCCATCATTGGGGATGGGAAAAACAAAAAATGCTGGAGATCACAGCAGGTCAGGCAGCATCCAGGGAGAGAGAGCAAGCTAATGTTTTGAGTCTAGATGACTCCTCAGAGCTGTACTAGACTCGAAACGTTAGCTCGCTCTCCATCCATGGATGCTGCCTGGCCCACTGTGATCTCCTGCATTTTGTTGTTTTCAGTACAGCAGTCCAGCATTTGCAGTAATTTGCTGCTACATTGAGGATGGGGATATGTGTGGAGTCTCCTCCTCCAGTGAGTTGTTTAATCATCCAACACCATTCATGACTGGAAGTGGCCAGACTGCAGAGCTTAGATCTGATCCATTGTTTATGGGATCACTAAGCTCTGCCTATCATTTGCTGCTAATGATGTTTGGCATTTCCTGTTTGGCGGCTTGACCAGGTTCACACCTCATTTTCAGACATGCCTGGTGCCACTCCTACCTCCTGTACTCAATCGGTGAGGATTTGATCAAATATGTTTTTCCCTCTTAAATCTTGGAGGCCTTTAAATTGGTCAAACCAATCAGAGTTTTGTCTGGTATAATTTAAATTAATTTAGACGCTCCTGTATTGGGGTGTTAGGAAGGTTTGAAATTAACATGTTTGTGATTGAACCATAAACGTGTTTATTTCTGTCCTTCTGCAGCCTCCCATTTCTTCAACTGTTATGAGGTTAGGTAGAGTACTTCTGAGTTAGAAGGCAGGATGTTAGAATTTGTTCGTAAAAATGATAGGAGGAAGAGTGCATGGTCCCTTTAAGAGGTGGTGTGTTTTTCTAAGCTTGGAGATAAAATAATGTCTGCAAGCAGCTGCAGATGCATAGACAGATCTGAAATTGAAACAGACAGAGTCATAGAGTAATACTACATGTAAACAGGCCCTTCAGCCCAAACTGGTCCATGTTGACCATGGTGCCCATGTATCAACTGGCTGTGTGATTGGCAATCTGGGCTTGTTTTGATGTTAAGGCGACCAGCTTGAATATCAGCCAATTAATTTAAACCACGCCCTAGATACCAAAACCCAATTAAATTTAAATTTGATGTGTTGACAACCTAGGACCAATCCTATTATAAGGTCATCAAGGGTATACAGGAGAGGGGTTTTTGAAAATCAGCGTGAGGGTGAATTGCTGTTGGAAGAGTAAAACTCTGGCTCTCCAGAAATCTTTAAGCTCTCTGATTAAGCACCATCTAAAACGTATAACAGCACTCTTAGCCAATATTCCTGACACAAGGATTCAACAAAGAAATAATTCCTAACTAAAGAATAATGGTAAAGGCACAGAACATTCTGGAAGATGCATCCTGACTGTAGTTTTGAGGGTCGAAGTTTTAATTTATTTTTCTTATTATTTGGGTTTATATATGTGGGACCTATCATTGTCTTATCTGCAAACTAGCAACAATGCCCTCAGTTCCTTCCTTAATGTATAACATGAAAAGTTGTGGTCCCAACACCTCCCACAATAAGCTGAATGACCTGCTCCGACACTGTGGAACTCCTCTCGTCTTTGGCTGCCAACCTGAAAAAGACCCCTTTACCCCCACTCTCTGCCTTCTGCTAGTCAGCCGATCCTCTATCCATGCCAGTACCTTGCTTCTAACATCATGGGCTCTTATCTTATTTAGCAGCTTCCTGTGTGGCACCTTGCCAAAGGCCTTCTAGAAATCCAAATGGATCATATCCACTGGCTCTCCTTTATCTAATTCGTTACCTCCTCAAAGAATTAGATCCTACATCCTATTTTACTTCGTTTGATCTACTTCTGACTTCACCAGCCTCATAGACTCAACTTGAATTTAACAGCTTCATTTTCTTGTATCTCCCCTGCTCCAGTCTGTCCCAGGCTTTTGTCCCAGGAGATAGAGAATATTTGCCAGATTCTCCACAGAAACCCTTCCCCAGAGTATAAACTAAGTCGATTATAAACCAGATACCTTTATGCACACAGAAATGCAGCCATTCATGGGGTGGCACGGTTGCTCAGTGGTTAGCACTGCTGACTCACAGCGCCAGGGACCTGGGTTTGATTCCAGCCTCGGACAACTGTGTGGAGTTTGTACAATCTCCGTGCGTCTGCATGGGTTTCCTCCCACAGTCCAAAAATGTGCTGGTTGGTGGATTGGTCACGCTAAATTGCCCCATGAAGTGAAGGGATGTGCAGGCTAGGTGGATTAGCCAATGGGAAATGCAGGATTATAGGGTGGTGGGGAGGATCTGGGTGGGATGTGACACGATGGATAGGTATGACACAATAAGCTGAATGACCTGCTCCCACACTGTAGGGATTCTGATTCATTCTCTCCCTTTCACTCTGTTACTATCACACTCTCCCCTGGCTCTCTTCTTGTGTCTTACACTTTGCATGTTATTCCTGTATTTTCATCTCTGCTTGCCACCCTTTCTAGCCCCTGCATTATCTGGAGTATTCTTTCTCTCTCATCATTTCACCTGTAACCTCTTGCGCTTCTTCCCTCAGTCCCACTTTTTCTTATTCCCTCCCTCCCTCAGAGATTCTCTGGATCTGCTCTGTGTCTGGCTGAGGGGATTCAAGTGTTTTCGGGTGATGGGGAATGTGAGTGATGACTGGAACTTCCCCAAACACAACAACAAAAGATGTGCATTCACATAGCTATTTTCACCATCTTGATGCTCTTCGCAGCTAATTGAGTACTTCAGAAATGTTGTCATTGTTGCACTACGTCAGCCAATTTGCGTACAGCAAGCTCCCACAAACACTCTGGGTTTGTGATATCAATTGAGACATAACTATCAGCGAGGGCACCGGGGGAAGGGGGTCTCCATGTCCTTGTCTGTGGAATTCTTTATCACAGAGGGCTGTCGCTGCTGGGCCATTAAGTATGTTCAATGCTGAGACAGATTTTTAATCAAACACTTGGGGAAAAAACAGGATAGTGGAGTTGAGCATTATCAGATCAACCATGATCTCATTGAATGGCGGAGCAGACTCGATGGGCTGAATGGCCTACTTCTGCTCCTACCTCTTATGGAATGGTGCCCTGGAGTGTCTTTTACGTTCCGCATGGTCCAGTGTCACATCTTGCCCTCTCAGTATGACGCCAGGGAGTATTGTCCGCCTCGATCCTGTGTACAATCCTGAGTCATATCAAAACGTTAACTCCACACAAGCTGCTGGACCAGCTGAGTTCCCAGCAATTCCAGCGTTTGTTGTAGATTTCCAATTTACGCAGAATTTCGCCTTCATTTCAGTCAGGAGGTGGGGTGGGATTGGGGAATTGATCCAGAATGTTCCATTCCTGCACCACCATTCATTTCCCTCTCTCTCTCTCAGCAATGGATCTCGTACTCAATCTCCCGCTTGAAGGCCCCACTGCTGAGGTTCTCAAATAACTCCCCGGGTCCTCTTTGCGGCTGGGCCTGGGCCTGCGCCTGAGCCTGGTGGAGAGGCCCCAACACCCGGAGCTGCCGGTCTGGCTCAGCGGCCGTGTCTTTGTAGGTGCAGAAGTCTGTCCTGTTGCGGTCAAGGACCAGCATCTCCCGGCCTGCTTCGTCGCGGTACTCCTCCAACTGGGCAAAGGTGGTCGGCCCGTCCGAGTAGTCATTAAGGTACAGGCCGCCCTCCTCCCCGCCCTGGCCCTTCTCGCCCACTCTCCTCCGACAGATCATCGCTCCCAGGAGCAGGAGGATGACCAAAGTCAGCAGGGAGATGCCAGCCGCGATGCTGGCCTGGGTGCCAGGGCCCAAGGTGGTGAACTCCATACTGCCAGCACCCGCCCTCTGGTAGGGAGACAGGCCCGGTGAGGGCGTTTCCCCACTCCTGAGGCCCAGGCCTGGGCCTGATGACAGGTTGACCCGCAGCTCAAAGGTGGCAGAGGCCCTCCCGCCCGGGTTGTGGGCCTCACACTCGTAGATCCCGGCATGCCAGGCCGTCACATTGCGGAGGGTCAGCGTCCCCCCTCCGGGGAGTAGGCCTGAAGGCCCCGGCCCAGTCTCGCTCACCTTCCTCCAGCTCACAGCTGGAGGAGGGTAACCGGTGGCCTGGCAGCTCACCCTCAGCTCATCCCCCGAGCGGCTCACCAATCCCTGGTTGTGGTCCAAGCTCACAACCGGCGGGATACAGACCAGGCTGTTTCCCGAGACTTGCAACAGGCTCTGTCCGGCCAAGCGAGGGGGCTCGGCACACACCATCTTCTTACCCAGCAGCAACTGGCGCTGACCCTCCCCAATCGTCCAGGCCCACAGCCAATGTAGCACACAGTCACACCTCCACTGGTTCCCTACAGACAGAGGGAGAGAGAGGGAGAGAGAGAGAGGGAGAGAGAGAGAGAGA